TGAAACAGTGCGCATCATCTGTCGTTCAGGTCACTGTGATCTCCAGCGGCCACATTGTTCTAGCAACCCTGGCTTTAGAATCACCCAGAGATGGGTTTGTGTATTTCCTACTGAACATGGTGTTCTATATTTTATCTCCTCAATACTCATGACAGTTCTATGAGATAAAACATAAAAAGGCTCTCCCCCACTTAGAGATAAGAAAATAAAAACACAAAAGCTTGTGTGACATACTTAAAGTCCTGATCTAACGGAGAAAACGCAGGCAAAGCCGTGACTCTGTACATGCGTGTTTGGCCCAAGATGTCACACTCACAAGCAAGATATGATAGCTGCAGAACAATATGAATGTACCTAATGCTACTGAGCTGTATGCTGAAAGAGGTTAAGACTCATCACAAGGAAAAAAATGTTTTTGTCACTACGTATGGTGACAAATGTTAACTGGACTTATCATGGTGATCATCTTTCAATATATACAAATATTAAATCATTAAATTGTACATCTGAAAGTAATATAATGTTATGTCAATTATACTTCAGTTAAAAAAATAATTAAAGGGACTCCTGGGTTCAGTCAGTTAAGCATCTGCCTTCAGCTCAGGTCATGAGCCCAGGGTCCTGGGATCGAGTCCCACATCGGGCTCCCTGCTCAGCGGGGACCCTGCTTCTCCCTCTGCCTGCCACTCCCCCTTCTTGTGCTCTCTCTCTGACAAATAAATAAATAAAGTCCTTAAAAAGTAGATTTAAAAAATTAAATAGGTAGGGCGCCTGGGTGGCTCAGTTGGTTAAGCGACTGCCTTCGGCTCAGGTCATGATCCTGGAGTCCCGGGATCGAGTCCCACATCCGGCTCCCTGCTCAGCGGGGAGTCTGCTTCTCCCTCTGACCCTCTTCCCTCTCATGCTCTCTATCTCTCATTCTCTCTCTCTCAAATAAATAAATAAAATCTTTTTAAAAAATTAAATAGGTAAATAAAAAGAAAAAAAGAAATGGCAAGACAGTAAATTTCATATTGTGTGTATTTTACCACAATTTTAAAAATTGGGAAAAAAAGTTTATCGAGAAAAAAGGCAAGGTAGTGATGTGACTTTATATAGGCGGTACTGCCCTTGGACTGTGATCTCTGCTTTGATTCTGCATCTGTAAAGGCCATAGTTGACTCAGTCAAGATCACAACATTTTGGTAATGAGGAAGATAACACTTTACACTTTATGTCCAATATGATCGTTTTCAGTTTCCCTCTGAAGTTACCTAAAGGAAGTTACCTTCCTTCCTTTTTCCATATTTTGTCATCGCATTATTCATTCATTGTGTAGATATTTACGGAGCACCTACTATGTGCAGGGCACAGTTCTAAGCTGATGCTCAGCGTTGAAATACTGAAATATTTCCAAACCAGTTGGTAAGTAGCTACGGTCTGCAGCATCCCATGCCCCTCCACACCGGCCACCTCATCTCTTCCCTGGGACATCCCCCACCCTGGACTTCCCCATGACTCAGCATAACAGGAAGGCTCCATGGTGGCCAGCTTCCAATTCAACTGGTGAAATGGCTGGGCCTTGTTAAATGTTTTATCACCTCCCAGACACAGCAATGAACAGAACAGACAAGATTCCTACCCTCTAGTCTAGGAAAGAGATAATAAACAATAAATACATAAATGAATCAGATAATTTCTAAGAGTAGAGTGCTATAAAGAAAACAAAGCAACAAGGGACTAGAGAGTGACTGGGGATGGGGGGAGCAGAGTAAAACTTGAAAAGATGTCTCTGAGGAAGTGACATTACAAGGAATCAGGAAGGCAAAGGTTTTAGGTAAAAACACTCCAGGCAGAGAGAACAGAAATATCAAGGCCTTCTGGTGGGAATAAGCTTGAGATTTTCATGGTTAGAAGGCCAATGTGATGGGGGCATCCTGAGCAAGGAGAACACAGAGGTAGACAGGGCCAGATCAGGGAGGATCTTACTGGCATTGGTAAAGAGGTTGAATTTAACGCCAAGAACAGTGAGCAAGCACTAGACAGATTTGAAACAGGGCCATGAATGACCTAATTTATATTCTTATAAGATTACTCTTAAAATTGTATGGCAACTGTGATTAAAGAAAAGCAAGATTGTAAAAAGGAAACAATGTATGGTGCTCTGGTGATCATCCAGGTGAACAGCGACAGTGGCTGGAGCTAGGGGACAACAACAGAAATAGAAAGACGTATTCTGACTCAATATATGTTTTAGAAGCAGAGCTGACCAAACTTACTGATGAGTATAATATGGGAAGAGGAAACAGGAGTTAATGAAAATGACTACTATTCTTTGCTTCAGCAAGTCACCGATGGTAGTCCATTTACTGAACAGGCAACGACTGTGGCAATAAATAGGTTGGTAGAGAAAAGGAATAAAAAGTTCTGTTTTGCCACAATAAGTGTGAGATATCATCTAGAGACATAATGTGGAGAAACAAACACACAGTTGGATATTTGACCTTAATAATAGGAAGATTCCCCCAGAAGATTCCGGCTTAATCAAATAGCAACATTTAATACACGTGTAACTTCACGGAGATGTATGTATAATGCACATTACTGACTCCCTTCCTACAAAACTTGTGCCAACAATTAAATGCATACACACAACACGAAGTAAGGCACCAAATTCTCTTTAAGGAAAGAATAGAATTCTTGGTTTTCATTTTTATTAAGTGTGTCAAAAAGCTTTCTGGGGAATGCATTCCCAAAATTGGAAAAGAAAATCAATTAGGAAGAAAACGGTACAAGAATAATTACTTTCCATGGCTTCTCTGGACTGTTAACAAGCATGTGAGGCAAGCTCGTGCTGCCCTCAGCACTTCTTCAACCCTGCTGAGACTGCTTTTCCTTCATTTGGTTGCATGAAAGTGGTGGAAACTTCTGCAGCAGATCCAAGCTCAGTGCATCTATTGTGACTGAGCTTCCTTTCAAAACCCTAGAGGTACCATTGATGAAATTAAGGATGACACCAGAAACGGGAAGGCCAGGCATTAAGAAGGAAAGAAAAGAGGAGAAGGTGGGGAAGAGAAGAAGGAGAGGAGAGAGTAGTGGATGACCTCTTCCTGATGGCAATCCCTTATGACAGAGGACTCCCGGAGAACATGCTCACACGGCATCACAAAACCCCTCAGGAAAGACCCACTTGCTCACGTGGCTTGAATCCGAAGGTTAGTACAGGCTCTCCGTATTCTAAACATGGTGGCAATTATCAGTTTCAAATGAGTAATAATTATCAACGCAAAGTAAAAAATAAGCATGCCTGCTTAATTCAGCTTACCAGCACTTCGCTGAACCTTCACGCCAACAGCCAGCTTTTTGTGCATGCTTTTAAAATAAAAGCAGTAGTCTGGCACTACAAATAATCCTCGTATCCTCAGAATTGGAAGGAAACTTAGAGGTCATTACAGCCAACCCTATCATTTTACAGATAAGGAAACTAAATAAAGCGAAGAGAGATAAAGTGGCTTACCCATCATCCCAGAGCCACTTCAGGATGAAAAAATGTTTTTAGTCATGATTCTTGATATTATACCATGCTGCCTACAGAGTAGGAAAGAAAAGTACCACAGGGATGGCCCCAGGCTTTACTGGAGCTACATCAGGGGGAGAAAAGATGGGCAGAGCTGGACATCTCAGTCCTGGAAACAAGGCCCCAGGCTGCAGGCTGTTGGCCTGCCAATATTCTCAGCCTACACCCTACAATATCTGACAGTCATTCCAACGCCACCTCTGGGTTTTTTCTCCCAGAGCTTTTGGTTTGATGTGGCAGAATGTGAGGTATAGTAGCTGGTGCCTCCTTCTGTCAAGATCTTCAGAAGGAGGCCATTGAAAGGTCACACAGCAGTGTGCTTCCAGGCTTCAGAGATGCACAAACCCTCCCCAAGGAGGATGGGAAATGATGCCTCGCTCCCCTGCCTTTACACCAGCATATTTCTAAGTGCATATCACACATGTCCCTAAAAAGCTAGTGCAGGTTACAGATGAGTTTTAGCCCTGATGGCTTCTGCCTTCCAAGTTTTTGCCCAATCTCAGTATATGTAGAAAATTCTAGAAATAGTCGCACCAAAACTCTGCAGCACATTCACCTGGAACTCACATTTACATTTTAGTGCTTACAGAGAACAAAATTTCCAATCAAAATTATTTTGGTAAAGTCTTGTCCCGTTCTTAGGGAAGTTGCAATATATGCAGGCTTTATGTTTGGTTTGCCTACTACAAACACATGTATAGATTAAAAAATGGATTGATAAATATAATAATAATAACCCTCCCCCATGCAATCTACGATTTCCTCTTTTGCAAAAGAGGAACACCTCAACAGTTTTTAAAAATCTTCCACTATACTGGGGCACTTGGATGGTTCAGTAGGGTAAGCATCCAACTCTTCATGATCTCAGGGTTGTGAGATTGAGCCCAGCGTGAAGGCTATTCTTTCTCTCTCTCCCAGTCCCACTGCCCCTCCCACCCCTCTCTTGCAAAAAAAACACAAAAACAAAAACAAACAAACAAAAAAACACATCTCCCACTATAGGAGCGCCCGGGTGGCTCAGGCCATTACATGTCCAACTCTTGATCTCAGTTCAGGTCTTGAGTTCACGGTTATAAGTTCAAGCTCCACGCTGGGCATGGAGCCTACTTAAAAAACTAAATAAAAATAAATATCTTCCACTATATATTCTTTTCCCTAGAAATATTCTTTCTGGATATTCTTTTTTTAAAAACACCTATACAATTGCGGGATCCAAGCTACCCATTTCGGTTCTATGATTCTCTCATTAGGTACTAGGAAATAAAATCTGGGAGTTAAGCAGCGCATGGATAGTAGTCCACATTTTCCGTTCCACATCCATTCCCAGGGTGTTAATAATTTTCACCATCTCCCAATTCCACTGAAAAAGTGGCCTGGATTTTATGTGACAGTGTTAGCATTCCATTGGCCTGATTATAGAAAATAGTCATGAAAAAGTACTTACAGCATAAGCACCTATCAAAAATGCCGCATTTGCTCTTTTCCGTTGATCAAAACAGGTGTAGTGCACTATTTTCTTTCTTGATAAACTGTATGACTAAAAAGAGGGAATAAAAAGAGTGTAACCATAGAGACAATGTTAAAATATACAGAAGGTAAACATCATCTCAACTTCCAAGATGTGTCACAATCAGTGAAATCTACCAACTTTCAACTTTCATTTCTATGGCATTTGAACATGAGCTTTTGAGGGGTGGAGGATTACTGGCGTGGACTTTTTGCAGCCCAATCATGATGCCGATTTGACAACAGAACACATGTTTCTCTCCAAGAAGGGAGACATGCAATGGGAAAGAATTAAATTACTGGCATCTTTACTAGTGGGAACTTTTTTGAAAATTTACTCTAAATATTATATGTAAAGCCTATTCATCTTTTTTCTTTTCTGAATTTTTATTAAGTACAGTTGACATACAATGCTTTATTAGTTTCAGGTGTACAACATACTGATTCCACAATACTATAGATTACACATTGTTTACCATGATAAGTGTAGTTACCGTGTACCACCATACGTTAGTACATTATTGATTATATTCCCTATGCTGTGCTTTTCATCTTCACAACTTATTTATTTTATAACTGGAAGTTTGTACCTCTTTATCCCTTTCATCTATTTCATCCATCCCCCCACACCCTTCCTCTCTGGCAACCACTAGTTCATTCTCTGTATTTACAAGTCTGTTTGTGTTTTTGTTGTTGTTGTTATTTGTTTGTTCATTTGTTTTGTTTTTTAGATTCCACATATAAGTGAAATCATATGGTATTTTGTCTTTCTCTGCCTTATTTTCCTTAGCATAATACCCTCTAGGTCCATCCATGTTGACACAAATGGCAAGTTCTTTTTTAAGGCTGAGTAATTATTCATCCTTTTTCCTTCCCTGCATACCACACCCACTCCCAGAAAAGTTATCTGTACTTTTCATATTTTACAGTTTATTTTTAAATGTGTCAATCAGTCTATTTAACTCAGAGCACCAATACTAATATTAACAGAGCATCAATACTCATATTTTCTTTCTAGAATGTTCTACAAAAAATCCCCTTTCACTTATCTGAAAATAAATGGTTAATGGGAAAAGATGAACCACCAAAAAGGTGGGATCAGCAGACATCTTAATACAATACATGGATTCAAACAAACAGTTATTAAGCACCTGCTATATGCCATGCAATATGCTGCACGCTCAAGTATTCCACTAAATCCAAAAATTAGCAACTTGGTATGCTGTATACATGCTAAACATGAAAAGTAAAAAAAGCCGTTAAAATGAAATCAAAGTATTCATCAAACTCAAATAAACATAAAACAATGAGAACACTGATGCAACTAAATGAAATCTGCTCAATTTCCTCATATTCCAAAACAGTTACAGCATTTTGACAAATGGTTTTCAAGATACAGATACATAGGTACCTCTTAATATTTGCCTATAAATTCAAACTGACTGTAAAAGCAGCTTTTTATACCTTACACACTGACCACAACCCACAGAATACCTGCTTTTACAGCTCCTTTCAAAAATGTAAGAGCTCAACTACCTACCCTTCTTTGTTCACCTGGCTATTTTCCACAAGGAAAAGAAACTCTTCCAACTCTGAGGTCTTTCTACAGGAAACTGCAGTGTTCTGGCTTTAATGTAACCACAGAAAACATAGCTGTATGTATCCCAGCAATGAGTCTGGAAACCCTCACCATCCCTTTAGGCATTTCTTTCCTAATCAAGAATCACGGGGGCACTTGGGTGGCTCAGACGTTAAGCGTCCGCCTTCGGCTCGGGTCATGGTCCAGGGGTGCTGGGATCGAGCCCCACATCAGGCTCTCAGCTCCACGGGAAGCCTGCTTCTCCCTCTCCCTTTCCCCCTACTTGTGTTCCCTCTCTTGCTGTGTCTCTGTCAAATAAATAAATAAAATCTTTAAAAAAAAAAAAAAGAATCACAGATTCTGAAAATGGCATTGCTCTTTTAAATTGAAATTCAAAAAGTAAGGGTTTGCCTCAAAGTGAGTCTTATTACCGAAGTCCTCATTTCCAGACAGGCTTATGAAAATACCCTATGAAATAAAGCTTTAAAAATACATTTTGTTAAATTCAGTTCAGTCAACACACTGAAGTTATCTAAAGACGTCAAGTCACTATCAATCATGCTGACACCTGTCTCCTTGCTTCCTCAACTTGTCATTTGTTTTCTTTCTAAGATTTATTTATTTTTGAGAGAGAGAAAGACAGCACACGAGTGGGGTGGGGGGGTGAGGGGGCAGAGGGAGAGAGAAAGAGGAAGAGAAGCAGACCCACCCCTGAGCATGGAGCCCCATGTGGGGCTCAATCTCATGACCCTGAGATCATGACCTGAGCCGAAATCAAGAGTCAACATTTAGGGGCACCTGGGTGGCTCAGTTGGATGAGCATCTGACTCTTGGTTTTGGCTCAGGTCATGATCTCAGGGTTGTGAGACTGAGCCATACAAAGGGCTCCATGCTCAGTGGGGAGTCTGCTTGAGATCTCTCCCTCTGTCTCCCTCTGCCCCTTCCCCCGCTTATTCCCTCTTTCTCCCTGTCTCTCAAATAAATAAATCTTTAAAAAAAAAAAAAGGGTCGATGTTTAACCAACTGAGCCACCCAGGCGCCCCTGCTTCCTCAATTTGAAGCCATTGTCTGCAGGACATTTCCTTTTATTATTTGTTTGTTGGTTTGTCTGTTGGCTTGTTCTTGCCATTTATTATTCTCCATCAATAAGTTAGTCTTGATTTACTGAAAGGAGAGTCAAGGCCCTCAAAACTTAAGCAGATTTTATGGTGTTTGATCCCAAACCGAAAGACTGCCTTCCACAGGCCGGGCCCCCGCAAACATGAGTCAGGCTGAGCATAAGGACTCAGCTCTTCCCGCTCCCGGCCTCTCACTAATTACATTACCTGGTTCCCTAAAACACCTGTGGGGAAGAAAATATCCACAACTGATCTGGAGTTTGGACTGTCTGTTTTAATGCCCTTTTCCACTAAGAATTTAGATTTTACAACAAACTATTGCTATCATTTAATAATGTGGAATTAAATTTATTTTACAAATCCATTCACCAAAAGGGACAAACCCATAAGGCTGTGCTTTTATCACCAATAGTCTTTTTGGTTGTTTTCAAACGTTTTGCATTTGCTTGGTTTTTGTTTTTTCACTCTTCTTTGAAAGTATATGGGATATACTTTAGTATATGTTGCAGAGACCATCCTGCCGCAGAAACCATGAAGCTACAGGATGAAATTCTAGAGGAAACTTTCTTTTCACTATAAACCATAAATTTTTTAAAGTAAATATAATACAAATTAAACTTTTAAGGACTTTAGAAGAATTTTTAAACTTTACAAGCTTTCAGAAATTACATCAGATAGAGAATATTCTCGTAAAATACACCTACAAATTTTAACTATTTTAAAATATCTCCTATTGGAAGCTGTCTATAGGATGGAAACAATTTTTTTAACATCCATTACCATACATAATGACAAAATTTTTTTCTTGTGATAAGAACCTTTAAAATTTACTCTCTTGGCAACTTTCAAATATATAATATAGTATTATTAACTATGGTCACCATGATGTACATTACAATAACTGACTTTTTAACTACAACTTTCTAATTTTTAGGAAAATCTTTTAAGCTCCTAGCATTTACCTTGCATAGATGTTTTCAGAATGCCATTGTTTTTCTCAGTTAATTCTCAAAAGCATTACAGTCAAGAAATCATCTGCTTAGTGAAATTTGGCCAACGTCCCCCAGGTCAGATCACAAAGTTTGAGTTCTCACTCAAGGAATCAAAACTAATTCACAATAAATGAGACCAGAGAAAACTCTTAAGTCTTACTGGCCTTGTCCTAATTTCCTTCCTGGTCACGGCCAGGCCTTCCTCTCATAGGTCACCTTGCCCCAGTCTTACACCAGCAACGTTATCGTAACATAGCAGATATTCTGGTACTGGAATGAAAAATTTCAAGGATGGGGCACCTGGCCGGCTCAGTCAGTAGAGCATGCGACTCTTTTTTTTTTTAAAGATTTTATTTTTTGACAGCAAGAGAGGGAACACAAGCAAGAGGGAGTGGGAGAGGGAGAAGCAGGCTTCCCTCCGAGCAGGGAGCCCGATGCGGGGCTCGATCTCAGGACCCTGGGACCATGACCTGAGCCAAAGGCAGACGCTTAACGACTGAGCCACCCAGGCGCCCCGAGCATGCAATTCTTGATATGGGGTTCTGAGTTCAAACTCCACGTTGGGTGTAGAGATTACTTAAAAATTAAAAAAAAAATGTTTTAAAAAACGACCTACTACATATTAAAGCATTCCAGAAGAAACAATACAATCCACTGGAGACACCAATGACTCAAGTCCCTTTAGAGAAACATCCTTGAAGAAAGATCTTCAAGATCTTTCCTGGAGGAACTTACCACGGAGGAAGAGAAAGGCACAGTCTGTAGACAAGAAGACCCTAATTGATGAATGAGCCCAGTAGATATTTTCTCAGCTTCTGCCCTAATACCAAGAAAACTTCATGCCTCCAAACTGAACTGTGTCTTCCTTACTTTGGCCCAATTCTTCTGTGGTTGGGTATGCTGACCAGGCCCTTCAAGGAGAGCACTTGCAGGGGCACCTGGGTGGCTCAGTCAGTTAAGTGTCTGCCTTCGGCTCAGGTCATGATCCCAGGGTCCTGGAATCGAGCTCCACGTCTGGCTCCCTGCTCAGTGGGGAGCCTGCTTCTCCCTCTGCCCCTCTCCCTGCTTGTTCTCTCTCTCTCCTCTCTCAAATAAATAAATAAAATCTTTAAAAAAAAAGCGCACTTACAAAGTTAGACCATCACCTCTGGCTTCAGTGGGCTATCTGCTCAATTACAAATGGTTTTTGCTTTACATGAGAAGTGCAGAGATTACAAAAACACTGTACAATAACAAAGTAAAGTTAGAACCTGGTAAAACAAATGAATGTCGTCTTAAATATTAAGGGGAGGATGTCACAGAAGGAATACTAAGACCTCTGAACTATTTGCCTGCTCTGCAG